GTGATGATCAACATGATCCCTCCTCTCTCAACCAATAATATCAATTGATATACCAACAACACACATTCAAAATGAGTATTACTAAGTTTCTCCAAAAACAAATGTCATGGATTAGAGTGTTATGGGCTCAATCAATAGTTCAATACCGAGAATTTCGAGTTACACAAATCAATTGACATTAGCATAATAAAATTCAAAGGAAGTTCCAGAATAATTGCGATGGACTGCAAGCATAGATTAGTGCATGGTTTGATTGTAATTTGCAGTCCATGAACATGGTCCTTGTGATGTCTCGATTTTGGATTTAGGTTCAACATCAACTACCAGGAGAATTGGATCAACATGACAAGCCGAATTGGCATTTTGTTTCACCATGTTGGATCAAGCTGGGAAGTAAAAACGGCAGTGAGATACTTATGGTTACACGAGTGCTGCAAGCTAAGGAAACTTATTTGAGCAAAAGGTACCAACGAAGTTGTTATAGTAAGAGTAGATGATCGTGGGAAGGAAGTATAAGAAGGGTGTTGATAGAAGGATGAGTTCCGAGAAAATTTCGGGGACGAAATTTTGTAAGGGTGAAGGAAATGTAACACCCCGATACTTTAGATTTAGGTTGGGTTAATTGCATGTTTGGTCACTATATTTACTAAAAAGGTTCATGTTTGGTCACTAAAAATATTTAATTTCATTCATGGTTACTAAAATTACTTTAACCATCCAAGTTTGGTCACTGACCGTCCAAATTCGCTAAATTTATTTGATGTGGCGGTCAACTCTTATAGTTGACCGTTAAATATATGACATGTCAATTAAAAAATAACAAACAAATAATATTTTATCTCCTAAAATTTCCACATCACTATCAGAAGCTTAAAAAAATATCAAAACCAGGGAGGCAGGTGAGATGAGTTGGAGGGACTAGATACTATAACAACACCCTTTGTGTTGTTATTGTAACAACACTAGCCTCTAACCAATAGGAAGCTAGGATTATGATGACTTTTTATTAGATGAGTTGACCTAGTGTAAAATCAAAGCAGGGGTATAATTGTCATTATGAAAATATGTTTAAATAATAATAAAAAAATAAAAAAATAAAAAAAAATATTTTTTATTTTCGGACCAAAATTTTGGTCGCCGGAATTCGGCCACCGGTCGCCGGAATCTGGTCGCCGAAATATGTTTTTTTGTCGCTGGAATATGCTATTTTGTCATCGGAATATGCTCACCGTCGTCGGAATATGCTTATCGGCGTCGGAATCTAGTCATCGGGGTCGGAATATGCTTATCGGCGCCGGAATCTACTCACTGACGGTCATCGGAGTTTGGTCAACGGGTTTCGTTGACCGGTCAACGAACTTCGTTGACCGGTCAACGGTCAACGACCACCGGATGTATGGTCTGCATTGTGAGATTTATGGTTTGGTTTCTCATATTTTTGTATGCCTTTTGTGGTTTGCTTTATCGTGTTTGTGGTTTGCATTAAGAAGTTTTTGGTTTGCTTTATCGTGTTTGTGGTTTGCATTGAGAAGATCCTGGTTTGCTTTCAAATTTTTGTGGTTTGCATTGAGAGATTTATGGTTTGTTTTAGGAGATTTGTGGTCTGCATTAGGACGTTTCTGGTTTATTTTTGTGGTTTGCTTTATCGTTTTTGTGGCTTGCATTATGAGGTTTCTGGTGTGGTTTTGAAAATTCTGTGGTTTGCTTTGCGAGGTTTCTGGTTTGTTTTAATAGATTTTTGGTCTGCATTAGGACGTTTCTGGTTTGTTTTTGTGGTTTGCTTTATTGTGTTTGTGGTTTGCATTATGAGGTTTTCTGGTGTGTTTTTGAAAATTCTGTGGTTTGTTTTGTGAGGTTTCTGGTTTTGTTTCAATAGATTTTTGGTCTGCATTAGGACATTTCTGGTTTGTTTTTGTGGTTTGCTTTATCGTGTTTCTGGTTTGCATTATGAGGTTTCTAGTGTGCTTTCGAAATTCCGTGGTTTGCTTTGTGAGGTTTATGGTTTGTTTTAATAGATTTTTGGTCTGCATTAGGACGTTTCTGGTTTGTTTTTGTGGTTTGCTTTATCGTGTTTGTGGTTTGCATTATGAGATTTCTAGTGTGTTTTTGAAAATTATGTGATTTGGTTTGTGAGGTGTGAATAACGATGAAACGAACCAAAGCAAGTCTCAACAGCTCCATTCACCCGTGAACAATGCTACACCAAAATGGAATATTAATGTACACACACTCCACGAAGAGCCTTGTGTGCTTAGCTTGCACTGCAAACATAGACCGCCATTGTTAACTCAACCCAAAACGGGGGCAAAACCCTCCAAATTGGTGGGCACCTAACCTAATTACCCTCTCCAAACGACTGCAGAGCAATTTCGAGCCCTAATGATGTGTCAATTGTCCTGTTTGAATCTGTAAATTGCAACAATTATGGGTTCTTTTTTCTGATCACAAGTCCCTCTCTATCGATCAACATATGCTCTTGATAACACGGGAACTGAAACTTGGCGATTCCTCTCGATTGCAGGGCTGGGCTCTTGCTCCGTGTAGTTTTCCGGATGTGCGATTCGGACGACGAACTCGCAGTTGGAATCCCCCGGAGGAAGCTCGACCTCCGCCTTGGGGAGCATCCGGTGCTCGCGAGTGGTAGGGTTCCAGAATGCGATTTCCTCGTCCGAATTGCGGAGCGCGAGCAGTCCGTTGCAGCAGCAGAGGATCTCGGTTCCGAACATGTGAGCTTCGAGCTGGTGGTCCAGCTTCGCGACGGCGGCGTGGAGGCGTTCGAGGTCCACGGAGGAGAGAAAAGAGTGTCGGTGGAGAGAAAACAACTGTCGATTCTCGATGACTTGCGGTAGCAGAAGCTAGGACTTACCGAGGTCGCTATTGCAGCCATGGAAGACGACGGCTGCCGATGACGTCGAACAGGATCTCTCCCGGAGCTCGTATCACGGGATTGATTGGCGCCGGAACATAGAAGGAAATAGAGGAGGACTGTCGACGCCGACGGTGGAAGAAAGAAGGAACAGCCGGAGATGAGGCTGGCGAGGAACGGCAGAAATTGCATACGAGATTGAAGGCGTGGATTAGGGTTTGGAGATTATTTATTTAATTTTAATTTGATATTTTTTTGTTAATTTACTTATTTACCCTTAATGAATTCTGTTGTTATAATAACAACACTAAAGGTGTTGTTATTCTATCCTATCCCTGAGTTGGAGCCCTTCTTTGATCAAATTAATACCTGACCTTCTTCACTGCAGCGGCAACGATGATGAGTTGGAGCCCTTCTTTGATCAAATTAAAACCTGATCTTCTTCACTGCAGCGACAACGACACTCAAACCCTGCTTCGAAATCAAATGGAGAGATGACACATCCATGGGTAAATGATTCGTCCCCTGCAATACAAGTCCACAAGTGGATCTCCAACAACCTCAAGCCCCCAACTTCCAATGGGTCTTTCCTAATACCAATCACCAAATAGTAACAACGACGCCCTCATTTTCCCAGCTAACGATTCAGAGCAATGAAAAAGAATCACTTCCTCTTGTTGCTCTATTCTGGAATGGAGCTCTCTGGTAGTGAAAAGTGAATACGATTGGCGGAAACGTGACCGTGACGAGAGATGAGGGGGATCTATGTGTGTTTCGTGGGTTTTGGATCTGGAAATTGTGGCTAAGGGCTAGGCTGCGAAATGGGAAAGTATCTCCTGTTGCCGGCTGCCGACGAATCTTCAAGGAGGATGCTGAGAAAGACAGCGACTGGCAGCGGATGATTTCTGCTAGGTTTTTTGGTAGGAACATTGACGATGGTGGTGACGAATTGGGTCTATTAGTTCAGTTGATGGGATCCCGCCGCAAACCTCTCGCCTTCTTCCTCTTCGCACCAACAAACCTCCAAATCCTTCACGCCGCCGCTTCATGCCTAGGGCACCGCTACTGGTATGGTCACCGCCGTCGAGGTGGCTATTGCGAACGCCAAAGCCGCCGCCGAGCTCGTACACCTCACCGCCTCCAATAGCCCTCACGAATTTTAGCTATGAGACAAGAATAGGGCTGCCATTGTTTGCGACGAGGTGGTAGTGAAGATTGAATTAGAAAATTGAATTAGGGATTTTGAAGAAATTAGGTTTTTTTAATAGTATGAGGTGGAAAATTATAAATATTAATTCAATTATTTTTTAATTATCGTGTCAGATATTTAACGGTGAACTATGAAAGTTGACCGTCACATCAAATAAAGTTAACGAACTTGGACGACCAGTGACTAAATTTGGATGGTTACACTAATTTTAGTGATTTTGAATAGAATTAAATATTTTTAGTGACCAAACATGAACCTTTTTAGTAAACACAGTGACCAAACTTGCAATTAACCCGATTTAGGTTCGACCTTAATACGTGATCGGTTGAATTGACGGTTACGTACTAAGAGTTATAACCGGGGATTAGCAATAAGAATAATAACTATTATTATTATCTATCTATCTATCTATAAAAATAGTAAAAGACTTTGAGATTTTGGCCTCCTCCACGTAAACCTTCCTCAAAATCTAGCCTATCCACGTCAGCCCCAAACCGCCTCCTACTCTCCGGCTATCATCTGTCCGTTAAAACTTAAAAACCCCTATTTCCCATCATTCGCTTCCACCTTTTCTGACTTCTCTCATCATTCCCTACGACGTTTCCTTCTGCCCAAAATTTCGAAACTTTGCATCTCCGTCGGTTCCCGCAGCGACAAGATGTGAAACTTGCACTTGCCTCCATCGCCGCAATGAATCAGTCATCACTGATGCCCACTCGACAGATGCGACATGATTTGATCTATTCCTACGATTTTAAGTTTTTAACCCTTATTTGTCTTGATTAATCCAGAGATTTCATAGTTTGGCGGGGAATCATGCGTACTGTATTCGGCAGATCTACGGACTTGAAAAGAGGCAAACTGGTTGGCAGTTTTAATGAGCCGAGAAGAAGCAATTGCCGTCGGCGGATATGAGGGAGAAGAGAAAGTAGCATGCAAAGCAAAAGACAGTCTCAACTCCAACAAAACCGTATCTTCCCTCTTGATCGGTTTGTCGTATGAATTTTCCTTTTCCATTCTTTGGTTTCTGCTCTTCATCCAAATTGACCGGCCAAAGCTTCATCACATATGCATAGCTACGACTTCAAATTGCAAGTCGTTATGTTTATTATGAAATGTGCCGATGCCGAAAATTCAATTTATTTAACATTATTTCTTCAATCCGAACACAGTTATCGGGTAATAGAAGGGAAGCAATTGATGTTTCGACCGGCCATATGCAATCTCTATTTTCTGTCTTTCTCGCTGTTGCTTCATGAGTTCATCTTGATTAAACTAACTCTGTCGCAGTCTTCTTCTATGGCTGATACTGCTTTTCAGTAGCTGTAACGAATGAACTTTGTTTCTCCAATTCAGAGATTTAACTTGGACCTCCCTGGAGGAGAAGCTTTTCAATATCCCTTCTATTTTTCTGTGTTCTTTCCTTTCTGGTGGCTAAATTTGTGGATACCTTCTTTAGAACTCCGTTTTAGACTGCAATTATGTTGATGTGTCTTTCTTGATTTCCCTTATCACCCATCTAATTGCATTGCAGGTATGGAGTGGGTCAATATATATGGACGAACTGATGGAATGTGATTTTGGTCGATGGAGATTTTGGTTTCACTTTGATCTATGGCCGATCATCAACCAACATTCTCTACTCCAGTTCCAGTGTACAGTGAAAATTGCCTCAACACATCTATTATTAACCTCAATCGTATTGTTGTCTTAGTGTTCTGCTTTTCAATCCCCTAAAGTATCAATTATGTGATCAAGTTGCTATTCTAATTCTGGGACTTGCTCTGAATTTCTAATTACGCGACCATGACAACAGAAACTAAATCATACCTTAAGCAGCAGTGGAGCAGGACGTGATCTGAAGAGCTGAGTGGTTGGGATGAAGAGATCTGGGCATGTTGTAGTGGTTGGGATAAACAGATCGGGGGATACAAGTATAAATTGGGTCGGCAACTATAAGTGTATGTCATTACAATCATTGATTTGTAGCTCCATGCGAGTGTATTGAAGCCTTATGGCAAAGTGAAAGGCCGCTCTCCATCATCACTTGCTTTTTTGGCTTGCTTTAAACTCTCTCAATTTATCAAAACTTCAGCTCCGCCAAGATCCTATCTGCTACAATGATAAAACCACCTACATATTAGAGATTGAAACCTAGATTAACTTTCTCAATTAGTTTATTGTTATCAGCTGAAGACTATCTCGATGGTTAAACAAAGAAAAGGAGGCCATATCATATCCAAGGATTGAAAACGTATCGGCAATTCAACAAGAAAACCGGTAGGGGTATTTGGCAGTATGAAAATATAGAATTATAGTTAAAACAAGATTTCAGTATAAACTGCCAACTTTTTCAGTACAACTTTTGAGATAGTTTTACAACCTTTCATCGAAAACGAATTAAAATAAAAAGAAAATAGAAGAATATTTACCCCGGCCGAGGGCCGGGCCCACAGCTAGTTATAATTATAGGGGGGAGAGGGCCGCAGAAAACCCCACCCCGCCCTATTTAATTGCCCCATCAGCCGCCAACCCTCCCCAAGCAAATTCCCCAGAGAAACACCCGCCCTTTCCCCAGCACGAAGCCGCAATCCCATTCTTTTCCCGAGTGCAAGGCGAGAAGAAGAAGAAGGGAGCACCGGTTCCCCCACTGCCGCCTTCCCGATCCCGATCTCAATCCCGATCCCATTCCTTGTGTGTTTCTAGGTAAGGATCCCGAACCCCTTCGTGATTTCTAAACTCGATTCATCGATAGTCTAATCCGAAGTTCGTATTTTATAAGCGGTGACGTTGAGAGTTCGATCAACGAGGAGATCAACGTCCCGGGTCATCCAATCTAGTCCTAGGCACGTCCTAGAGGTAATAGAACTCGATCCCTTTGAGTTAGGTCGATTGATTTGGTCTTTTTCGTGAGGATAGAATTCTGGGGTTTTAGCAACAGGCGTTACAGGCTTTTAGTGACAGATTTTGGGTGGTCACTAAAGCTGCTGGGAATTTCAAAAACGTATTTTTGTATGTTTTAATTGTTTTGAGTCTCTGTGGGTGTTTTTTCCTGAGTTTAAAATCTTATAAATTGAGGGAGGTCTAGGAGATGGCTGTAATTTAATTTGGGGATTTTTGAAGATGTATTTCTATTTTTAGAAATTGTTCTAATATTCATTTTAATTAAATAAAAATCTTTCCGAGGGTTTTTTAAGGGTTTGATAATTTTCCAGGGTATAGGGGCTCATGATTGACATGGGAAAATTATTATCCGAATTTTTAAGAAGGTTCAAGTTAGGTGGAAAATTCGTCCAAGACTAAAATAATTAGGAAAAATAGTTGGTTTTGAAGGGAGTATTTCTAGAAAAAATTTAAAGGGGGTTAAGGGACCTTTGGAGTGAGGTTTGAGGATGGTACTTTGAGTAGAGGGTGTCTGGGTAGGTAAAAAGGAGGCTTTTAAATCGAGAAAGGTTGTCTTAGAGTATGAACTTCTTATTAATAGGTGTCCCGGGATAATCCGGCTAAGGAGGGAAAGAAGGCGAGAAAGTTAGCAGCCGATCAAACTTCGTAGCCTCGCGTGATGAAGAGGTTCACACTGATTAGTAGGAGGGGAAGAGTCGCGTCTATTAGAGGCGGACGGAAGGCCGAGAACTCGACATCGGTGATCGCAACTGGCGGGGGTAAACTGATGGAGAGGCCCTGACCCTATCCTCCTAGATGACCCGGGGTGTCGGCAGTTCGAAGTTGGCTACTAAATTGTGGCCCGAGGAGGGACCTTGAAGAGAATGGCGGCGGAGCTCCAATGGTTAGGGTCGTTGAAGAGGAAGACGATGAACCGATAGAAGAGGAGCCAAAAGAGGAAAAACGCGCGGGGCTTGAGCGGGAGAATGAAGACGCTGGTGCAACTAAAGAGGTGAGTGTAAAGGGGGTAAAATCTCTGTCGTAGGTCTTTTAGTTTCCGCTTTTCGTTCAAGTTGTTATTTAGTTAATTTTCTAGTATGCGCGATATGTGTGTGAGGCATCCCACCGCCTATAAGGGTGGAGGCACGCGTTGTGCTATGTATGAATGTATGTGATGATGTATGTATTGATGGTATGAGGAACCCCCGGGCGGTTGGGTCACTACTGGACGGCCAGACGTAACGCAGTGCCATTGCCGAGTTTGGGTATGCAACCGGACGGCGAGACGTAACGCGGTTGGCATACTAGGGTAGGGACACCGGACGGCGAGACTTAACGCGGTGGTCCCTTGTGTTGGTGTCTTTGGATTAAGAATACAAGTAAGGAAAATTCTAAAGATAAGATAGGAGGAGAGATCTCTTATAGACTGTTTGATAGTAAAGTTTAAAGGATGAAAGTGAGAACGACAGGCATTCCCCTAATAATGTGTTTAGTAAGGAGTTTGCCTAGGACAAAGACCTTAGGAAGTAACGACGAGACTAACCCCTTCTCACTCACCAGGTCGAGGAAGGGTTAGCAGAGGCGGATTGTAAGAAGAGGCAAGGCGATGCGAGTAGCTGCACCAGCATTGATGAGAAGTCAAGGAACTCGTGAAGAGTCAGAGTTAGAATAGTTTAATTTCCTTGTTACATGGTTAGGAGTGTAAACTGGAGATCCTGAGTTCTTTCATTTTAAGTATTGGGATTTCATTTGCCCAAGTGTTCAGTCTTTTTGTTTGAAATTCTGAAACACTGTCGGTTTATTTATTTTTAAAAGTTGTTTCGGTTGCTCTGGAGTAACCGGTTTGTGGTTTGAGTTGTGGTTTGGTTTTCAAAAAGGATCGGGTCGTGTCAGTCCTCGTCTTCTTAAATGAACTCTGACCATACTTTGTTGATTTGATCATAAAATAAAATAAGACAATCTAATTAAGGTATGTGGATTCAGGAAATAACTATACTTCTAAGACAACGATAAGCAAGAGGGATAGTACAATTAGAAGACAGACTCACGTGATGCCAAGATCAATATGCTTTTGGATACCGAAACCAAAGCAGTCAGTGTCGCTGAAGTTACTCCTCGGGAGCTCGTACTCTTTAACCTTCCTTGTCACCTTGTGACCCCACATAGTAAGCACGAAGAACTCCTAAAAATATTGCTATAAAAATCCTAATTAAAGCATACCCTTGGAATAAACTGGGATTTGACCGCTGATTTGTTCCAACACCTTTGAGTAAAGTCAAAAAGTATCAGTATATGGGAATAATGGAGGAAACTGCTAACAATTTAGAGCAAGGAAAAAGTATCAGAGAGAAATACAGTGATGGGAACCTTGGCCACGTAGTTGAGGAATTCTTCGTGTGGACAAGTTGAGCACCAGTTCACTGCTGGTTCCTTATCCTAAATTGTTCACAATTTGCTGCAAGGATAAGGGTGGCATAGTTAATCCATTTTCAGTCAATGAATTGGAAATAAAAGTAGCAAGAAGGAAAGATAGATAGAACCAAATGAGCAAGCTGTGGTCCATTTCAGGTAATCAAGCAAGCTATGGTTCTGGAACTTAAGAGTAAAAAGAAACAAAAAAGAATCAAGCCTTACACTATTGATGGAGTACGAAGTTGTCCTCGCCTTCAGTTGTGCAACCTCATCAATTTAGTGTTGTAGCTTAAGAGAAAATACAACCACACCATATTCATGTACAACAATAACTTCTCCAATTACTAAAGTACAACAAAAACTTCCAAAACACAAAAAAGAACCTTTGATCGACAATGCATGACAGTCTTTTCGATCAAGTAGGAGCAGAGCACATGACAGTAAGAAGTCTGATAAAAGAACGAACAGCGAAAAAGCTTTGTTCAGAGTTTGGTTGTACAATTTGACAGCTATGACTTGTGACCCTCTTCTAAAGTTAGTTAACCAACAATATGCAATTTAGAAGAGCATTGTGGAGCATATCGAGAGAGAGAGAGGGAGAACACACCTGAGTAATTGGTATCTAGATCGAGATATGAGTCTTGACTCTTGAAGCAACATATACCCCGCAGTTTGGATACTATCCTCCTCAATCTCATCGTGAGTGAATTATCCAACGAAATCTACATTTAGATTAACCCTTACAAAGATGTCATCTGATGTAGCTATTATACTTTCAAGATCACTTTCTGTAAGTGAAAAGAATAGGTTGAATTCAAGAGGTTTGATGTTTGCTTATCTATGTATAAGATAGGAAACACGTACCTATACAAACACATCGCACATTTATTATTGTAATTAAGTAGTCAAGTGACTGAAAAGCTTAACTAATTTTCTGGATATACCAAAGCAAGCTTGAAGAGCTTTCATCACGAAGCACTGAGGTCAAAACGATATGTTTTGCAGCCGACCTTCAAGAATCCCGCAAAGTCGCAAAGACATCACTTGACTACTTAATTACAATAATAAATGTGCGATGTGTTTGTATAGGTACCTGTTTCCTATCTTATACATAGATAAGCAAACATCAAACCTCTTGAATTCAACCTATTCTTTTCACTTACAGAAAGTGATCTTGAAAGTATAATAGCTACATCAGATGACATCTTTGTAAGGGTTAATCTAAATGGAGATTTCGTTGGATAATTCACTCACGATGAGATTGAGGAGGATAGTATCCAAACTGCGGGGTATATGTTGCTTCAAGAGTCAAGACTCATATCTCGATCTAGATACCAATTACTCAGGTGTGTTCTCCCTCTCTCTCTCTCTCGATATGCTCCACAATGCTCTTCTAAATTGCATATTGTTGGTTAACTAACTTTAGAAGAGGGTCACAATTCATAGCTGTCAAATTGTCACAAGTAATTTCTCTTAGTCCAACTGAATTCTACATATTTGATGGCATGTATAGGAAAATGAAGCAGTAGCTATATTATTTTCACATTTTTCCTTTCCCAAATTTAACTGGATAAAAGACCAGACTTCACCATAACCTCAATCGTCTCTTTCATCCTAAGACTACTGCTGAGTAATTTATGCAGCATACTGCATTGCCATCCCACCCATGAATGAATGCTTTCTAACAATAGTGTAACAATTAAACTCTAACTACTCACTACATTCTCATTATCAATTGATCCCTATGTCGAAACCCAGAGCTTAAAGAACTTGGGACTGGCGAGAAAACTTATAGTTCAATTCCAAGACGCTGCTCAAGTTCGAAGATTGATGAATTGCAATCAATTACCAGGAATTTGTATGCAAGCAAAGCTAATTCATGGTAGTAGTTATTTCTAGTTAAGTGAGAAGGCATCAAGAAATTAGAATTTTAAGTGACATGATCATTGTTACCTCCCTCTGTAGATCACCCTCAGAATGAATCAAGCTGCTAATAAATTCAAGTTGTCGAGTCTGCATATCATTGAGAGTAATGTCACGAACATTGTGTTTTCCATTCGATGATCCGGCCCCTCCAATATGAAGCGAATCAGAGTCTTCTGTGTCAAGTGATAGACATGATCCTTCTTATTTACCTCTGCCTCTCTAGATCACCCAGAATGAATCAAGCTGCTACTTTCAAGCTGTTGAGTTTGCATTTCGTTGAGAGCAATGCAAAACTGAAATAGCAAACCAAAGCTAAAAAGGTAGTAAGCAGCGAGTGTCGAACTATAACTGAAATTTGGAATTGAGAAGATTGGTCATACATAATCCATCTTCATTGTTGAAATCAAAATGCAGTAGCATAGTGTTTATACATTCCAATCCGCAACCATCTGGAACCTAATCATCAACGAACCAAGTCGAAATCTGCCACAATAAATTTTCACTTTTATCAACGAAATCAAACAAAACCCATCTCCCAAAAATCACCAAATTTCAACTGGAATCCTTGTGCGATCCATCAAGGGCACCCGGAAGGATGGTGGATAGAGAAGAGTGCCCATTGAAGAAGGAAATCATAAAGATGGGAGTAGCCGCTAGCTTTGAAGCGATGTAAAAGAAAGGAAAAGTATTAGCCCCCACAAAATTGAAGGGTTTCGGAAATGGACACCGTATCGGCTTACTGAGGTGGAGCGTAAGAGGAACCGAAGGATTAACAAAAATCGAGATGCTTAGGCAGTGCGATGGAAGCCTTCTGTTGTCGTCATTGAAACTCAAATCGAAACCCTTGCCTGCGTAGATGAAGGAAATCGAAGACTCACCAAGTTCAACTTTCTCCACTTTAACCCTTTCCTCGCACACTATCCGATATCGGCGCCTGCGAGTAGAATCCCAACTTCCAAAGCAACGATACTAACCGTAACAGTCTTGGCCTATAAAAGGGATTGGCCGGATTGCAATTTCCGATTCCTCAAAATTCAAGCTATTTCCCTTTCTTCTTTGAGTCAATTGAACTATTGAAGACGACGAAGAATCGTCCACTTGTCTAGCCGCCACCCGATCGCCGTGGGGGATCGGATTAATGCGTGGAGGCGAGGAGAAGGGCAAGGGACACGTGGAGAAGGAGGAAGGACTTGAATCAACGGTGGAGATCAAAACTTAGAATATATGAACGACGATCCGCCTGGTCTGCATGATGCTTACGGTAGACCCACCCACTTTCCACTGAACCCCTAATGCAAATAGGCGCTATTTATTTCTTAATGATAAATCTGGTAGCCCATTTTCAGAATATCATATATAGATATAGTAGTCTGGTTCTTCTACTTCTTGTGGAGATTCTGGAAGTAGGCTGGTTTTATCACGACCTTCATTTGATCTCCAATTTCCTCTTGCACGTCCACGACCACGACCTCTGTCTCTGTGGACGTTTCATAGTTGTTCGTGGTGAAATTTCCTCCATCTTTGCTTTGATATGCTCCTCGGGCTCTTCCTCTTACTTTGCCTTTGTAGTTACCTCTGCCTCGACCTCTGTTGTGACCTCCTCCTCGTGCGCCTTCTTTCTCCTCAGTGGTAGCTTTTGTAGCTAACACTTGTTCTGACGATTCTTCATTTCTTTTATCTAGCCTTTCTTCACGTGCTTGCAGTGAGCCGATGAATTCATCCACCGTCAATTTTGATAAGTCTTCGGCTTCCTCCATGGCCACCACCACATAGTCAAACTTTGGTAATAATGATCGTAAAATTTTCTCCACCACCTTGGTCTCTTCAATTTTCTCCCCATATTGCTTCAGTTTGCTGACGACTGACTTCACACGAGCGGTGTAATCTGAAACAGATTCACCCTCCTTCATTTTCATGGCTTCAAAATATCCTCTGAGTGTCTGAAGTCGAACCTTCTTTATTGGTTTCACACCTTGCATTTCCTTTTGCAAAATCTCCCATGCTTCCTTTGCCGTGGTAGCATCTGCTATTTGATCGAACATGGATTCATCAAAACATTGATGAATTAGAGTGAGTGCCTTTTGATCACTCTTTCTATTTTTTCCTCAATACCTCCTTTTCAGTAGGAGATAATCGAGAATCCTCCGTGGTAATCTCGTATCCTTTCTCAATAATATCCCAAGAATCTTGAGATCCCAGCAAAGCTTTCATACGGATGCAAAAAAAATTTTAATTGGTTTTGGTAAGATGGGGGGAATTGAATGGGGAAAGTGGATTTCTCGTCCATGGGACAAACGTGATAACAAAAACACGAGAATTCTTTTCTGATGTGGAAGTTCAGACTACGCTGCAACCACAGAGCATACTAAGAAATAACTCAGGCTCTGATACCACTTTGTTGGAAATAAAATAATATTTATTACCTATTACACTTGGTGGGCACGTTGGCAAGTAGTGGGAGCCTTTTGGGTTTATGTTTGGAAATGGTGATGGGCAGGTTTTGGGAGGAATGGAAATGGCAGAGAGTGTATAGGGAAAGGGAGGTTTTCTTTTATTGCTTTTCTTCTTTCTTTTATTGGAGGATATCTTCAGGACTTTCCTGTACGAGCTTGAGAGAAAAAGACGATTAAAGATGAAAAAGCAAATACAAACAAATAGATGATGAAGAATGCAAACCCTAATAGAAACAAATAGGTTGATTTGAACATAACAAAAAATAGGGTTCATGAATGGTAGTACATATTAGGGAATTTCTTCATGTCTTTCTTATTTGAGCTCGATCGAGAGAGATGATTAAATATAAAATCAAATATGAACAAATATAACGGTTTATCACAACAACAACAACAACCGCAAGAATAAATAATGAGTTTAATTAATATTATCACATACTAGGTGATATGAATAAAAGTAAAGAAAATTAGGAATAAAAGAAAAGAAAATAGAGAATTAAAAAATAAAAGTACAGAGACAATCAGAAGGGTCCACAAGATAAATGTTCTTAAAAAAATGGAAGCCCATTTTTGATCAATCATCCAACTTCAAACTGCCCGATTATATCTATATCTATATATATTTTGTCTAGAAATGATCTTTATTTTTTCAACATATTTTATATTTAATATACATATATAACAATTTCACGAAGTTTTGTTGTTTTCAATTATTTTTCTTCATTTTATTGAAATTATAAAGAAAAATTATTTGTGGATACTAATCCCATTATAGTATGTGGTTCAAATAGAATCTCTGTGGTTTATCCCTCGAACCTCTCTTCACTAATTACTCCAGTCCTATAACTTATGCTAATAAATAAATTGATGTTGAGGTTCCTCGCGGCAATGTAGAATAAAATTTTAAACAAAAAAATCAAAATGTCTAAGGTAAAACAATGAAAATAAGCAATAGTTTCACCAACTCGAAGAATCTCAAAGCAATTCCAAATCAGTCATATCGAATGCTCCCTAAAGAAAGCAATGAATCCAGCAAATATTTATTCGAAATAATTTTTGGTGGTATGATTAAGGTTTGAATTTGAATATATGACCGAGTATGATGTCTTTTCTTTCTTACTAGATATGCTCTTTTGTTTGTGCTTCGCGGCGAGTGGTATATAGCACTTTTAATTCTTTATCTGAAAAAATTAGTAAAATGTATCTCAAAAGACATTACTCCAAAAATAACAAGAAAAATCACAAACATGTGAGAGAGCTCCATAGCGATTTTGCACGTGCTGGCCAAAAAGGTTAAGAATCAGAGGATGATGATTTACATATTTGGCGATCAACAACCACTAATTAGAGAAGTTACGAAGTTTATGTGCGTGGAATGAAAAAGAACAAACAAAAAAGATGAAAGAACGTAACATCTACTTCCGTTTATTTCGATACCACTTCCGTCCTCTTAATGGGAAGTGAGAGATATCTTCGTGGTCTTCTTATATGAGATCGAGCGAGAAAGAGATGGGTAGCAAATTAGCAATGTAAAACCAAATGTGAACAAATATGTCGATTTCAACACAACAACAAAAAAATATGCTTAATGATTGGTAACACATATTAGAGGATTCTTCATGACTTTCCTATATGAGCTTGAGAGAAAAAGATGATTGAAGATGAAAAAGAAAATACAATTAGATAAAGAAGAATGCAAACCCTCATAGAAACAAATAGGTTGATTTGAACATAACAACAAATACGGTTCATGAATGGTAGTACATATTAGCGAATTTCTTCATGGCTTTCTTATTTGATCTCGAGCGAGAGAAATGACTAAAGATGTAAAATAAAACATGAACAAATATAACAGTTTATCACAACAACAAGGGCAAATTGCAAGGTTGGTCACTGAAATTACTAAAAAAGTTCATGTTTGGTCACTAAAATTACTTAATTCCATTAGTGGTCACTAGTCACTAACTTTATATTCTCATTCCATAAATGGTCACTAACCTTATATTCTCGTTTCATGAATGGTCACTCTCCGTTAAATTCATCCTACGTGACAGTGAACTCTAATAGTTGACCGTAAATATGTAACGTGACAAATAAAAAACTAATAAAAATAAAAGTTAATATATTAAAATTTCCAAGCTCATTATCACAAACTCAAAAAACATAAAATAAAAATAAAAAATTTGTGTTTAACCCTCGCCGCCGCTGCCTACCTTATCCTTGGAGAAGCTGGAGACTGAACAAGCTCAAATGGAGGCGCTGATTGAGACGGAGCTGGCCGACGCTGGCGAATCCCAATTCGTGCAATGTATACAGAGCAGTAGTTGATCGTTCACCGACACGGAGAGCTTTTCCATTATGATCCAACAGTTGGTCACTCGTAAGCTCCCTAACAATCGTGGCGGTCAAATTGGCGCCTTCTTCGCAGTCAAGCAAATCCTAGATGGGTTCCAAGAAGATAGAACCATATCCATACCAGTCCTGCAGAAAGGGTATTGTTGTGAAATCTTGGTAAAGGATAAGAATTGGATGAAACCGGTAAGGGTTTTGGTGCCTCAAAGGGCATGTATATATACTCCAATCAAACATGCTGTACAGTTCCTAATCTCTGTTTAACGGTAACAAACATGATGTACTCCAATCAAACATGATGTACTGGTTCTGTTATGTTTAGGTGTGATAGCATAGCAAAGGCAACCAAATACCTTTAGGCCAGATAGATCAGGTGGTGAATCATACAACAACTCATATGGGGTTTTGTTCTTTAGAGCTACTGTAGCTAATCTATTGATGAGATAAACTGCATGAAGAACACAATCTGACCAGAATTTCAAAGGAAGTCCAGATTGAAATTTAAGTGCCCTAGCCAAATTCAAGATATGCTGATGTTTTCTTTCTACTCTAGAGTTCTATTGTGGGGTTGCAACACATGACATTTGGTGAATGATACCATGTTGAGAATAAAACTGTGGCATGTGGAATTCAGCTCCTTGATCCGATCTAATGATTTTGATGTGTTTGTTGTATTGTGTTTGAACAAGAACACATAAACTTTGCAATAAATTTCTAGCTCCAATCTTATGCTTCATAAGGTAAACCCAAACACACCTAGATCAATCATCAACAAGAGTAAGAAAGAACTGATAACCATTGTAACTGGTTGTGACCAAAGGGCCCCAAATGTCGACATGAATGAGCTCAAAATTGCTCATTGCCATAGACTGGCTTGAAGAAAATGGTAAAATAAATACTTTTGTTTGGAAAGATGACAAACATTACAATGAGAGAAAGATTCTATAGTAATGTTTGGTATAGTCTTCTGTAACTCTTTGGTTCGAAAAATGGAAGGATGACCAAGTCTCCAGTGCCATAAATCAAAGGACTTGTGGTGTAAGGTTCTGAGTCTTGATGGAATTAACAAGGGTAGTAGTAGATTCTGGATGTATAGTAAGTTGGTAAAGTCCTCTAGTCTCTTGGGAAAAACCAATCATCTTCCTGGTTTGATGTAAACATTGTTTCGCAGAGTCACATCACAAGAAGTGATCTTTTTGTAGTTAACCAAATATAGGAGTTTTGATGTTATTAGGAGTAATTATGTGAACTCATTTGGGTTAGTTTAGATTTATT